GGGAGCCCGACGTGGGATTTGATCCCGGGTCTCCAGGATCGCACAGGCGCCAAACCGCTGCGCCACCCAGGGATCCCAGAATTTCATGATTTTTCTAATGATGTTCTTAAAATAAGCCTTACGGATTAGAAATAAAAAAGCTGGGTTCATACAAGTCTTTCCTAAAAAAAAAAAAAAAAAAAGGTGGGGAGGAAGAAGAAAACCACCATCAGAAACATTCAGTGTGGTAATTAGAGACAAAGGTATGCTTATCTCCACAGCCTTTTAAATGGATCCATGAAAAAAGCACAGCAGGACTGCAGACCCTTAGAAATTCTGAGATTCAAAGGGGGTGGGGGACTCTGACATGCAAAAAAGCCAGGGTTCAAAAGCCATGTTTGACTCAGGCTGGAATGTGAGAACATTTTCATTTTAGAGAGCTTGCCAAAGAAGGATGAAGTATTGTGGCCTTCATGGTGAATCCTTAATCTCACCCCAGTCCCCACCCACCTTGTGAAACAGCAGTTAAACCAAGAGAGAATTAGTTTTAAAAGCAACACAGTTTTTTTTTTAAATTTCCCTCCCCATCTTCCTTCTCTGACCTTTACCTTTGTTCCTCTTTGGTTTCCAGGCTCTTGTTAACCTCTGTGAATGTTAACACTTATTAATATCTTCCCCAGCCTTCTAACCCTGGTGAGAATCCCAGATCACTCTCAGACCATTCACTCACTCACATTTTTCTTTATGGAGTGCTGGATGTCAGCAATGATCCTCTGAAAGAAGTGCACTGTTCCCCTGAAAAGGCAACGTTTAGGGGCACCTGGGTGGTTCAGTCATTGAAGAGTCTGCCTTAAGCTCAGGTCATGATCTCTGGGTCCTGAGATCCAGCCCTGGGTCAGGCTCCCTGCTCCAAGAGCATCTGCCTCCACCTCCTGCTGCCCCTCTGCCCCCTGCGTCCCCACTGCTCCTGTTCTGTCTCTTGCTTTCTATGGCTCTTCAATAAATAAAAAAAAAAAAAGGCCACATTTAGTGTCTGTAGTGAAGGTGAATTCATACATGCATACGTCCATTTCTTTCTCTTTTGGGGGAGTGGGTTTTCCCTTAGGAACATGAGAAATTCTATGACCTGGTACTGTAAGAAAGAAGTTGAAGCTATAAATTCTGCAAACCTCGGACATCAGTCTTCTGCTTTAAGTCTAGTAGAATGCATTGCTACAGTCTTGAAATGCATGCTTATCAACAATAGTGATTGCCTTTTAGGTAAGATGGGCATTTAAATGGACATTAGGAGAAACCAAGGGATTAATGGAATTTTTTAAAGAGCTTGTTATCTTTAACAGTGTTAGGCCAGTTTCATCATGTCTTGTACTTTACCCCAATTTCTAAGTGAAGATTTGCTCAACGTTTTCCAGGTAGTAAATTCCCAATAGTGGATAATCTCCAACAGTAAATATTGTAAATTGTATATTAGCAACCTAAACTTTAGGAGGAGAGTGTGTTTGTTTTGTTGTCCAGCATCAGTGATGGTCATTTTAGACATATTGAAAGTGCATTTTACTGGCTTGTTTTTTATTTTAAAAATAACCCCAAAATAAAATTCCTTCCTTCATTTGCACCAACATATTATTAATTCCATGGGCACCTTTCCCCTGCCCTGCCAGGTTATGTTCACCTTTGGGTCTGTGACTGTAACTCATTTCCATGCTTGTACCAACTTGGCTCAGTGCTTATTTCATGGTGTTCAGTAAATAATTGGTGAGTGTGCTCTGCTGGCTGCTACTCTGTTGTCCTTTTGATTGATGGTGTTTAGGTTTTGGGTTTTGTTTTACTTATAGAGCAGGGGGCATTTATTGGCAACTAGGAAAGCATTTGTTTCTGCAAGGGAGGGGCCCTGCATATTTGAGTCTCACCCATTTTATGAACACTCAAGACGAAACTCTCCATCTTCTGTACACAGTTTAGTCATGTACAGTAGCAAGAATCCAAGTTAGTGACATTTTGTAACAATTTTTACTGGTAGCTAGGACTCAAATGTGAGACATAAAGAATATGTTGAGTAGTGGGAGGAACTTGGCATTTGAAATCAGAAACCAGAACTCAGCAATCTGATAGGTGATTCAGGTTTTTCCCCAAATTATGGGTCAGGATACTTTGGTGGGATACAATTAGGGGGACATGTCTAGCATATTTTCTCAAATAATAAAAATATAATTTTTCAAAGTAATAGACCAAGGAAGGATAAAACATTTCATATTATTTAAAGAATCTTTTTGTTTCAGAGGTAGAGACTGGTTGTGTGTGTGTGTGCACATGTGTGTATGTATGAATGTGTGTGCGTGTGTATGTGAAACTGGGTCACAAACTAAAATGTAGATAGTCAAGAAAAAGTTTTAAAAACACAAAGCTTTGGGTATTTGAATGTTTCATCATTCTGAGCCTTGAAATTCTCATCTCGTAAATAAGATTAATGGTGACTATTTTGAGGGTTTATTCTGAGGATTAATGGCAGTAATACATGCAAGGTATGTTGCATAGCACCTAATTTACATGATAGACATGCAAAAGATGTTATCTTTTACTAAAATTAATCCACTTAAAATTTAATTGATTAGGATCTATTCAAGTGTACACAGGATTGAGTCAAGATTTCAATCCATGAAACTAATTTTTAAAATATTTTCTGATTTGAAAGACAGAGATGTTAAAAATTAATCAGGAAGGACATTGCTTAATTAATTCACTGTGTTTATTGATTTTTCTTTGAGATCTTTGCTTTTCAGTTCAATAAAAGTATTTTTAATTTTTCAACCCATTTACTCAAGTAATATTTTTAGAAGCTGGAGTACGTCCAAAGTAACTTGACAGATATGTTTAGGTGACTCCAAACTAATGCTATGAGAAATAGTTAAATATCTGGTGAGGGCTTACAAAAGAGAATACTTAAATGACATTGATTTCAAATATTAAAAGGACTATTTATTTTATGGCAAAGAAATTACATTAATTAAATATGTTCTGGAAGAAAGAATAGTGAAGACAAATTTATTGGAAGTTATGAAATAATAGAGTTCAGCTCCAAATGAGAAAAAAAGAATTATTCTTGAGACTGGTCCTGAACCATTGTAGCTACTTTAGAAGGGATGTCCCTCTGAGAAGGGAAGATGGGTATGTTCAGATTTGATACAATGCAAACCTCTTTTAGATTAAAGATCTGATGATTTTTAGATTGGCTTTTATGGGTTAGATATCTCGATAGGCTATATATCAAACTCTTACACTGATCATTTCCATATGATGTACACACCTCAGACATGTGTTTTACATAAATGTACCTGGAAACAGAGTCTGGGGGAAACTGCTGAGGAACAGGCATATTTTTATCTGTGAAGGAATCCTTGTATTTATCGGGTCAGTTTTCATCTAGTAACAGGCATTGAATTGCTTATGCTCATTTTTAGTGGTTTAGTGGGTATAAGCCTTGTAACAAGGTTGGGGCTTGTGAGCATGGCAACACCTATAAAGAACATGTGAGGGGAAGTAACAGCACCTGGAGGGGCAGAGGTGACTCTACAGAAATAAGATGGTTACTTTCACCAAGAAGCAGACCCAGAAAGGCATATGCTGATGGCAGGGAAAGATTTTTTTTTTTTTTCTGTAGTCTTTCTGTAGTCTGTAGGGAATGCTTTGAATGGCTTTAGATTTTGTTGGAAAAGAGAATAACTTTTAAAGGATGCCCTAGATCATGATGTAGTCTCAGTACCTGGAAATGGCTCTCCCCTCCAGAGTAATTTATAGACAAGAAATCTGAGTTGTATAAAATGGAAATGCCCAATACAGAGCTGGAATCAGAACATGTATTTCTTGACTTTGAATCCATCATTCTTTCCAATATCAGCCCTGATGGATTACTGCCCTGAAACATTTCCCCTTAGTCTGGTGGTCTCAGGCAGCTGAATCTATTGTGTCAGGTGTGTCAGCCATGGATCATAATGGGTCCAGGATCTTTCAGTAGTCATGCACAGCAGCTTTATTTGCATGTATCATAGAACTAAATGAGGACTCAGACATCTCCTTCGGAGGTTTTCAAATGTTACTTTAACACTGAAACCCTTTGTTCAAACAATATTTCTGTAGCAGCTTAATATATAAAGCAGACTTAAAAAAAAAAAAAGCTGATTTAGTTGAAATGAATATTAGGGGATCTGGACCACTGCCTGATCCTACCGCCCACTGGCCCCACAGTTACAACCACTAGGCTTCCAAGATGCACCATAGAAAGAAAGAAAGAAAAAAAGTCTACTTGCTGGCCTTTGTTTTATCACCAGGGTTTCTTTGAATGCAGGGGAAAGAGGACATTATTTTAGACTTTGTAGGAGAAAAATCCATTTTCTCAAATGTGGCAAAAATTGCCTGTAGGGACATATTGCAGCAAACATGAGTCCACGGGAGTCCAATGAAAGGGAAGACATAAAATATAAGGAAACTGGCCTTTATAAGTGTCCAAAACAGACATTTGTATGTATTAATCAACTTGAGCATAACTGACTCACCATTTCTAAGAACTTTCCCAAAGAAAACAAAATCTGAGAAAAATTTCTCTTAGTATAAATTATGAGTGCTGATTTGAAATCATTGTATAGATGTTTTATAGGGTCTGTAGTGATGGCTTTTTCTAGAGCATCTGCAAAATAGCATCTGCTTTGGACAAGGCACCCTATAATCTGATGGGACAGCATCTCTAAAGGAAGAGGCTGGTTTCATTTCATGGATTATCTGGAAACTACTTGGAGCCTCCAGAGCCTTCCTGGGATGAGGTTCAGTGATCTTTGTATAAGGGAAATGAAGGAGGGCCCACGATCAAGCAATCACAATTTACACAGTGACGGATCTCAGAAGGTAGTCCCAAAGCCAGGTTTGGTTGTTACTGATGTTTTTAATGATTACACTGCCAGTGAGCTCATGTCTTAGAATCTCCCAGGACCTAAGGCTCCCTCAAGATGGTGGCGTACTCATAATCCATTTCAATGTTTTCTCCATCCTAAATCCATGACTGAATGCTTAATAGTATCTGCTCCTTCTTTGTCTGGAGATTCTTGTTGCCCAGCACTACTTACCAGCTTGGCACACAGGGGTAACTCTCCCTCGGGAAGAAAGGGAGTCTGTGTACCAGTGGTGCCGATCACTAGCACATTCTTCTTCAAGTCGATGGAACACTGGTGTCTCCTGAGCATATCCAGCCCCAGAAGCATGTCCATGGGCTGCTCCTCCAGGATGGAGAAAGAGCACTGTAGGAAATCGCCTTCAATCTGAATCTGAGCTAGATGGACTCGGCCAATAATCCTCTGTGTGCCCACCCCTTTGGCAATGCCAGCCCACCGGCGGTCCACCAGCCGTATTATATTACATCTCTCGGCACAAGCTTGGCTCATGATAGTCATCTGGGCTCCAGAGTCCACGAAGGCCTTCAGAGGATGTCCATTCACTTTGCAGTTGATATAGAGCATGGCCACTTGTCCGAAACTTTCTGGAGCCTCCTCCATCGCTATGTTCATATTTTCCTCGATGTTCTGCTGCCGGATTTCTTCTTCTATTTTGGCCTGAGCTTCCAAGTCAAATGGGTCGGCAGTGTAGAGGCGAAGCCGCTCCTGCTCTCTCAGGGCCCTTTCTCTCTGCTGCTCCATGAGGACATGAGAAAATGTGTCGAGGTTCCCGCTGAGCAGGGCTTCGGCCAGGGGCGGGTTGCGCTCCTTGAGCAGTGACAGGTCGTGGGGGTTGGACAGTAGCATGCTCCGGATCAACGCGGGGCTGTCCAGGCCCTGTGTGGGTGTCATCTTCTCTCCGGAGTCCAGGCCATGGGACTGCTGCACTGACGGGGCCCGCTGCTGCTGCTGCTGGTGGCGGGAGCTGGACGTGCCCGGCACGGCTATCCCGGTGAAATCTATCTGCAGCAGGCTGGATGTTCGTCCGTGCGGCCGCGGCCCCGCGCTCTCCCTCTGCAGCAGCACCACCACGTCACCGTCTCTGAGGCCATAGGAGCCCAGGGAGCAGCGGTCGTCGGTGAGGAGCCGCTCCATGAAGATGATCTGGATCTCATCCACAGGGATGCCAGACTCGAGCTCACAAAGGAGGCGGAAGTTGTGCAGTTCGAAGTCAGGGTTGACCTGGAGGGAGAAGGTCGCCTCGGACAGGTCCCTCCGCACACAGTACACGGTGACCAGCATGACATTGGCCCAGGCAGGCCAGACGGGCACAGGGCATCGGGGTGTCCTCTGGCTCCCTGGAGCTAAGTCTCGTCAGTGGTGTCTGGGCTTCGGTCTGTTCACTCCTGCACGAGGCCCAGCTGCTCACCAGTGCAGTGCTGGCTGCTTGGCGGCTCGGAACCCTGAGGAGGCCGGGTTGTTCCAGGGCTCATTTGTATGGCACTGCTTGGAACTTGGAATGCCTGTTCCCACTGAGGTGCCCGGCTCTGCCCACTGGTTCCCAGGCCAGCCCTTCCCACCCCGCCTCACCCACGATTTGGAAGATTATCTCAGCTCTTCCTAAACAACATTTCATCTTGGTCACTTGAGAGTGGTATTCTACATGCTTCTCCTTAGACCCAGACAGGGGTGCTTGGTCCCTGCATGGTGAGCATCACACTATGTGCTTGGGATGAAAGACGGGTCAGACTTGGTGCCCTACTGTGATGACCTCACATTCTCCAGAGGGGGGATTGATGATAAATGAGGGAATCATAATACAGGAGGTAAGTGAGACACCCCAGACAAGACTTAAGAGAAGCCAGAATTCACAATAAGGCCTGTTGTTTTCCAGGAAAATGGAGGACGTCCAACGTCATAGGAGAAATTTGTACATGATTTTGGATGGCCTGATGTGAAGCTGGAAAGAAAACAATTAGAACCAGTTTTTAGAGTTATACGTGAATCCAAGGAATGTAGATAGTATTAATACACAAGAATCCTCCATCCAAAAACATAAAAAAAGGAGGGAAAGAAAAGAGAAAAAAAAGAAAAAAAAGAAAGGAAATGGGAAAGATTTGAAGGAAGTGTTTTATGATTTTTTTCTATTTAATTGATTTAAGGAAGAGGTTTATCATGACCTGTGAAGGACACATGGTGGCAGGAGTGCCAGGTAGATGCCTTCTTGTTGGTTTAGAGAGGGCACTGTTGCTAGAAGATGAAAATATAAGGATGACCAAAGCGAATGCAGTGGGGAATAAGAGAGATAATTGAGTAGAATGGATGAGACATCTTGAGACATTGGATGTGGGCTGCATGAAAGAACAGAATGTGTGGATGACATAGAGGGTCATCACCCTCACCCTACCTTCAATGGATGTGTGAGATGAACCTTTGAGGAGACCAGTTTGACGTTGGTTTTGGAGTAAAATGGATCATGAATGCCCGTCTCAGGGCCATAAATGGCTCCCTCTCTGACATAGGGCACAGGACCCTCCCACACACAGCAGAGTGGAGGCATTAAGAACGTTGGTAGAGAGGTCCTTCTGGGCAGATGGTGGCTGGGTAGAATCCTTGAGTGCCACTTCCTTTTCTCTGTATCTCAGTGTGTGTGAGGAGCTCCTGCTTCCAGGGTGTGGTCTCCCCAGGTGTGTTTAATTACAAACCAAAAGATAGTTAACATCTTCTGCCTTGCCCCACCTCCCTCTTTATTTCAAGGTTTGTCAGGAGACCTGCACCATTAGAGGTTACATCAACTTAAAGAACTGTTTTAGTTTCCATTTCTCATGTGTTTCTCTCAGATAAAGGACTGTATTTTATTCATTGCTCTAATTATAATTATATTTCCATACTCATATTCATTTATATTGGAAATGTTGACTAAATGCCTACCGTGTGTGAAGCATATGCTAAGTTCTGGGGAGGCATGCATGAATAATGTTAAGTGCAAGCTATGCTCGTAGAGGAGCCAGTCTAAAGGAGGATGCATGCACACATATGCGTATGCATGCACACACACGTATACACAAATGCACATGTGCACGCAAATACACATGCATGCATGCACACATGCACACATACATGGACATGAGTGCATGCATGTGCACATGCAGACATACACATACATACAGATACAAAACAAGTATACACATACACAGGCATACACACGTGCATATGCATGCACACATAGATGGGTATACTTATGTACATGCACACATATACACGCGCACATGCATATACACATACATACACACATGCACCCACATACATAGATAGGCATAACATACATGCTTATGCATGCACCCATATAGACATACATGTACACACAAGCATACACACATACATGCATATGCACACACACTTCCATATATACATATACACACATAATACCAAAGAGGTCAGTACAACAGGAGAGAAATGAATACTATCCAGAGAACAAATGCAGAATGTGAAAAGGGAGTCAGGCAGGGATGCTTCCTGAACATGCTGGGTTTAGAGACATGGCAAGAAGTCAGCCACAGGGGGCTGGATGTAGTGGAGACCCAGGGCCAAGAAGTGCGTGGCCCCAACTTCATACCTTCAACCAGAAAGGCAGCAGCCCTTCAGGATGAGGACGATTTTATAAACTTTCAGGGGGAAGTAATCTTGCATTATAATTTTCCTGTAGAAAATTCTGAATTATTTAGAACCAATCTTCACTATTTGTAGAGGTGGATGGCCCTTTGACTCCCAATATTAAGTTAATAAATTTCTTCTGTAGTTCTTTCTTCACGTCTTGGTAAGTTCCTCAGAGATCAGCCGTGGTCGTGCTGAGCTCGTGGGGTGACCACCCGCCATGGACAAACAATTCTGCCAGAAGCCAGCAAGGCTCAGGTTCCATGTCCTGTTTTACTTCCCACCAACCAGCTTTCAACAGTTTGTTTTTTAAATTTTAATAAGTTAGGGACATAATTCTGGGGGTTTGTTTTCTTAAACAGTGGACAAAATTATTTTTTGTAGAATAGGCTTTTCCTATTTTTTTGGCAAAGCGAAAATCCGGGGTTCGCATCAAAAGAAACGAACATCTCTTTTTTTTCGTATTACCATTGCTTTGATACTGAACATAATTAAGCTTTGTGCAGTATGTTTTATTAGCTTGCTGTAATTCTTTTGTTGGCATTTTGCATTTATGTGCCTTGTACTATTTTATCCTTTTCTGAGAACACACAGTGGAAAGCAGAAAGCCTCAAGGTCTGGCCAATTAAGTGTCATCATCCCCTAGAATATGACTCAGGATATCAGGATTAGTGTCCTCTGGTCCAGCCATCATGCAGGCTGAAAATATCTGTTGCAAAACAGCTTGGAATCTTGTAATGCCAAACATAGCCTTCTGAGGCTATATATATATATATATATATATATATATATATATATATATATAGTATGGTTCTTTCATTTTACTCAGTACTGTGGGTGATTCAGATACCACCATATGTGTAATTATCTTACCTCAAAATTGTAATTAAAAACTTACTCTGATTATGCAATAAACTCAGGGATCATTGGGAGTGTATATAAATACCCCTAAATATAAAATGTTCCCATACTATAAATTCCTGCTGCACAGACTCTTGAGAAATGGGCTGTCTGAATTATCTAGATGTACAAATCCAAGTAACTGGAAGTTATTATAACTTCTCCTGAGGAGTTGCTGTGAAGTATATTCTCTTGCTTTTTCTTCCGTGGTAAGCACAATATGGGAACATAATTGAACCTTTCTTTGGTAAGTGAGACTTCTGCAAGGTCTCGGGGCTATCGCTCAGAAAATCAATTCTCATTGTACAGCCTAAATACCCAGAAAATAGAAAAGATGACACTGATTTCATGCCGGCCAAGTTAACAGCCCTGAAGTTATTTTTTTTTTTTTGGAATAAATCCACAATAATGCCCTTTATAATTTGCCTCTTTATAAAACCTTAATGCAGCCAAAAATCCAGGTAATTGATGGTTTCATCTAGTACAGTCAGTTGACGGTTTAAAAAGTTCCACATCTTGCTTTAAAAAAAAAAAGGTTTTATTTATTTATTCATGAGAGATGGAGAGAGAGAGAGAGAGGCAGAGACACAGGTAGAGGGAGAAGCAGGCTCCATGCAAGGAATCCAATGTGGGACTTGATCCCGGAACCCTGGGATGACGACCTGAGACAAAGGCAGATGCTCAACCACTGAGCCACCAAGTGTCCCTCACATCTTGCTTTGCAGAGCAAATAAATGTCCTTTCTGTGAAAAAGGAGTAGCTGCATAAATATGCATATATATGTAGCATATATAATAATTAAACAACATTAAGCAAATATATTAGCTTATTGTGTTTGGATTCCGTCCTTGAAATATGTGCCTATTACTTTAAAAATGTAATCAAGACTTATTAAGACTGGGCAATCGTTACTTGAAGTTCCTTGAAGTTGAACTAGCAACTTAGGAAAGATGCAGAATTTTCAAAGCTGATATAGAAGGTAAACCACTAATATTCCTCCTGTTCTTCCATTCCCTTTACAATAATACAGTAATTGTGCCTCCACTGTTGCAAATGAATAGCATTTATTTCTTCATATAATTAATTAATAGACACATTGACAGTACTTTGATGAAAATACAAGCTTTTATTTGTATGTTTGAAGGTTTCCCATTGGAGAGGTTTAGTATTGCCCATTTTTGAGGCTTAAACACCATGATAAAACCTCTTCAATAAATGTATACACAGTATGTAATTGAAGAAATTCATGAGACCTGACAATTTAGTCTGTATCAACCTGCTGGCAACACAACTGGTGGTTTTTCTCTATTATAAGGAGACAAAAATGGACAGAAAACACACGTAAACAAATATACATGTTGCAAAGACAGCGTCAGCAAGTGCAAACTCTGGCTGGACATGTGTTCATTCACTTTGAGTATGCAATTAAAAGATTATGTCATTTTCCAGCAGGAAGCAATTTTAGGGTGCATTGTATTTATAACTTTATTTTATAGGTTTTACAGATTACCGGTTTAAGATTTTTTTCATGAAAAGGGATGCATTTTAGTTATATATTGTATGCTGAAAATAATATAGTATCTCTTGATAACTTTTGGCTTTCTATAACTTTTGGCTTTGGCTTTACTTTCCAAGTCTAAATATACATGTGTGTGTGTTTATTTATTTTTAAGAAAGTTTGCTGCTATGCTTTTGTGCCTTGTGGTCCCTTTCAAGGTCTTAACCATGTAAGAATTATTCAGATGTGT